CTCAATGCTGCCATATTGGTCACTCACATTTGGTACATTGCCCTTCTCTTCACCCAAATCAATATTTATCTCTATCTATCTAACAGTGCAAAACTTACTTTTTAGTAAATCTAAGAACTGCTTAGGAGCTCTGGTGGCATAGTGCCTAAGGCATGTGACTGATAACCAAAAGGCTGGTGGTTCAAATCCACCAGCCTCTTCTCAGAAGGATGGTTGAGCAATCTACTTCCATAGTGATACTACCTCGGAAACCCAAGGAGGGGTCGCCATGAGTCAGTTCTGACTCAATGGCAGTGAGTTTGTTTTTGTTTTTGTTAAGGACTACTTAATATAGACTCAAAATTATAAAATTTAAGAACTCAAAATATCCCAGAATTGCAATAGGTATGTTCTTTTCACAAGTCCCAGTCCCAAAAACTCACTCCAAACTATCCCCTCAAACTTAACTAGAATATTCTTGTTTTTCAAAAACTGCTCTCAGATTAACAACTAAACTCATAGATCAGTGGAAATAATAAGGAAGATAAATACTTGTCTTCTATAAATATAATTCTATAAAGAGCAAAGTGAAAACAAGGACCACAAGAAAGAAGCACAGAGGATGGCTCTTACCTACGCAACTCCGTCCATCTCCCTGGTATCCAGGTGCACACTCACAGGTGTAGGCTACATTTGCCCCTGGATGACATTGTGCTGTTGTGTCACATGTGTGGCTGCCGTCATAGCAAGGATTCACTGGAGCAGGGTCTGAATCTCCTGCACGGGTAGAGAGGAAAGAAAAAGCAAAAGCACAATCTGATTGTTATAAAGAAAAGGCAGCCAAGGCACAGAAAGAGACAGAAGAGTCCTTGGAATGACTCTATACTTGTCTATATTCTGTGGCATACCTGGTGACCTTGCAAAATTATTAGTAACCAAGTGTAGGGTGAATTCCCAAAATGGCTTCCTATGCTATACTATGACTATTAACATTTTCTTGCTTTCAGTGGGTTTCTGTCCAGGGAATAATATCTAACATATAGCTTTAACTCCTGCAGTGTAGGAAATTACTTAGTATGGCTTTTCTACCCATAAGTCATTGTAAGCTCAGTGGTGAAATGAGCAACTGAGGAGCTCCTGATTGTAAATGTTATCTACCTGGGTTATTTCTGTTGGG